TTCATGTAAATAATAATTGTTGTACTTTCTTCCTTATAAGAAGAGAGAATTGATGGAGTGTTAGTTTAACCAGTGAAGTTAGAGAAGTAGATAGGTCCAGAGGCCAAATGGACTGTTGGATCTCACCCCAATGTATGGTTCATCCCACACCTGTAACCCTCCCCTGAAGCATCAGATGTCTGTGACCCCATTGGCCCAGGTCTTGTTCCAGCCCACTGTTGCCTTTATGAGAGACAACGGCGACCTGGTTCCAAGAAGACAGCACGGCAGCCCGGCCTCACCCGGGCTACTCGGACTAACGACACACGCTTACACCAATGTGGTGGACGATCGAAAGCGTTTATTATCTTATCTCATGGGTTTAAATAGTCTTGGGAGACTTTGCTTCGTCAGAGGGGGGCTGGGGGTCTCAGGAGATAGTGGGTAGTGGAATTTTACTTGGGCCGGTGTGGCTGCATTCCTCTGAGGTTTCTGGAGTTAATAGATAAGTGGGGAAGAGAGGCAGAGAGGGGGATGGGTCTATCTTTCCGTCACATCCCGAAATCTTCCGTTCGCCTGTCCCTTACCTACCACATCTCCCCCCTCCTTATCACATACAAAATGAGGTAGTTGTAGGTAGAGGCACTGGAGTGAGGTATAGACTTGTAACTTGTTAAGGAAAGGGTGGTTTAGTAGATCTGGGTAGATTTTTTAAGGCAGGTGCTGAAGGCTTTAGCTACTGACTGTGTTTGCAGTTTTTGGTTTATAGCATTTGTTGGTGGCCTATGAACAGAATGTTTGCCCTTTTCAGATGGGCTTGAACAAACGAGACTAGTTTGTTCAGCAGGCATGGTCCTATGGTAATAGCTAAAAGCAGTATTGCCAGTGGACTTACCAGGGCAGAAATTAAAGTGGTGAGCCAAGGTGATTGATTGAACTAGGATTTAAACTAGCTCTGCTGGGTCTCCCTGTCTCTCTTTCTCTGAGCCAGTCTGTCTCGGAGTTCTGCCATGGAGTCTTTAACGACTCCTGTATGATCTGCATAAAAGTAGCATTCTTTTTTTAAAGCTGCATATAATTTTTCTTGCTGCATAAACAAAAGGTTCAGACTTCGCTTATTTTGTAAAATTACTTCTGAAAGCGAAGAGACTGATTTCTCTAGGTAGGAGATGGATTTTTCGATCCTCTGCAGGTCCTCGTCGATGGTCATTTGCAGCTGAGAGAGTCCGTGTTGCTGGGTTGCAATGGCTGAGACACCTGTGGCTGTGCCAGCTGCTCTTAGGCTAAGCAGCATTGTGATGGTTAATTTCTTTTTTGTGGAGTTTGTCAGGTTCTTCAAGAAGGTGGTATGTTTCTTCGTCTGAGTGATGTAGGACTTTAGAAACAATCAGAACTTGAATATAGAAATCGATAGAGTTATTAAACTTGGCAAGGAACATATAAGGATTCACTCTGGGTTTCTGGCAAATTTACATTTTAAATGTGGATGGGACTACTTACTTATTGGTCTTTTGTGGGGAGTGTCCCACTTGCACTGGTGGGGGATATTGGCTGTGGAGTAACTGAAGGGGGTATCTAAAGCATTGCTTTCGTAGAAAAGGGGGTTTAATATCATAGTAAAACTAATAGGGGTTAGTCAGGTTTGATTTGGTTTCATTTAGGGTTAGTAAAATAGCTTCTAAACAGGCTGGCTATGTGGAACACGAAGGATGGGGTATTTATTAGAGGGTAGTGGCCTGGGCTAGCTTGTCTTCCTGGCCACAAGCCTCTAAACAGCAAAATTGCATGAAGAAAGACACTGTGCATGTTTGGATCTCACCACCGTGGGATTCTCAGGTGTTGTCTGGCAGTTTGGTGGTCTGTCATCTCTTTCTGGAGCAGGGGGTCTGTGTCACGGGGACGGTCCACAAGCGTGTCCTGCAAACAGAACTTATAGCTTCTCATTAGTTTTGTTTTGAGGGTCAGGTTTGGTTGGTAGCAGTGGTGTGCAGCAGTGGCTCTCATCTCACCACGTGGGGGTTCCGACTGCCACAGAGGCAGCACGTCCCCTACATCCCCGGGGGCTTTTTCCCCACTTTCATGGCTAGGGCTACCCCGGGGTCCCGTATCGGGGCGTCTCCTGCTGACTCTGCGGCACGGGCGCCGCTTGCGGTGGGAGGAGGCTGAGTTCGCCCGCGTGCGCTCTCCCCCCCCCCCCCCTTCGTGTGTCTGGGGGTTGGGACCTGTATTTTTTGGCGAGATGCTCTTTTTTTTCGCAGCTTCAAGGGGTATTGTGACTGCTTTTCGGTGCGGCTTAGAACTCTATTCGGTTTTGTTTTAAACTGTGCTGGTTCTGTATCTTTTGTTTCGGAGTTCCGGCTGGCCCCCGCCGGCTTGGAGGAGCCGGTAGAGCTGTTGCCAGGCTCCGCGCCGGAAATTAAATGCCAGGGCACTTCCGGGGCTCCGCGCCGTTTTGTTCGGCTCCGAGCTCGCTCCACCCCGCGGGGGTGGGGCCGCTCCCGCCCCCCCGGCTCGCCGCGCCTCCCGCGGGGGGTGGTTTCTCCCTTATATGGTGGCGGCGCCCGGCATGGCCGCTGATTGGCTCTGTGTCCCGAGCTGCTCTCCGCCCCTTTCTCCCGCGCGCGCGCATTTCTGAGATCGCGCGGTGTCCGAGTTTTCGCGCCGGGGCCGCCCGCGCCCCGCCCCTCTCTGCCGCTCCCGGCGCCATTTTCAAGGCGGCGGCGTGGCCACGCTGCCGTGCCTTCTCGGGCCGCGGCTTCTGCGTCTCGGGCTTCTCCTGCCAGCCCCCGCCAAAAGCGCTCCGCGCGCGGCTGCGCTTCTGGCAACGGACTTTCGATCGGTGGCGGCGGCGGGACGTATCGGCAAGCCGCGGTTTCTCAGGGCTTTTTTGCGGCGGGGGTTCCCCGGGGGTTTTCCGCGGCGGGGGTGTCCCGGGGGGCTTCTGCGGCGGGGCTTGGTGCTGCTCCGCTCGGCGCGCCGGCGGGGAAGCGGCGCGGAGCCGCGGGCGGGTCCGGGTTCCGGCGGGAGCGGGGCCGCGGCGCCCGGAACGCGCCGCCCCGGGCTCCGGCGGCAGCGGTCCCCCGTGCTGGGCTGGGCTCCGCTCCACGGCGGGGCCGGGCCGGGCTCCGATCCGGGGAAGGGGCTGCCGCGCTGAGCCCCTCCGGGTCTTCGCTCCTGGGTGGACTGTCCTCAGGGACGGTCTGCGCTTTCGCCCCCGTTCCAAGCCCGGGTTTAACTAATAAACACGTACGCGCTGTATTCTGTGTCTCTTGTTTTTCTATTGCTTTGCGCGGGGTCTTTTCTACCTTGCCCCGTGCCGTAACGCTTTCGCCTGAGGATTTTGCCTCCCCGGCTAGCGTGGCTGTATACTGTTCCCATATTCCCGGATGCATGGCATCCACTGAGCATTCGGTTGCTCCAAGTTCAGGCAGCCTTGCTATAGCAAGATAAAAGTCCCTGAGCTTAAACGCGATACTCCATTGCTTCACACTTACGACCCATGCAAAGCTGCCTATGACGCTCGCGGGTCCTGGAACGTCTCCCCTACGCCTGGGTACGGTCCGACCGTCCCGGCCGCTGCTTCTGTCCAGGTGAATCCCGTCCACCGGGCGGTTTTTCCTTTTTTTTTTTTCTTCTTTTTTCTTCTTTTCTCCCGGGTTTCGGCACCAGATATGTTGCCTTTATGAGAGACAACGGCGACCTGGTTACAAGAAGACAGCACGGCGGCCCGGCCTGTTCGGGCTACTCGGGCTAACGACAAACACGCAGACACCAATGTGGTGGACGATCGAAAGCGTTTATTATCTTATCTCATGGGTTTAAATAGTCTTGGGAGACTTTGCTTCGTCAGAGGGGGGCTGGGGGGTCTCAGGGGATAGTGGGTAGTGGAATTTTACTTGGGCCGGTGTGGCTGCATTCCTCTGAGGTTTCTAGAGTTAATAGATAAGTGGGGAAGAGAGGCAGAGAGGGGGATGGGTCTATCTTTCTGTCACATCCCAAAATCTTCCGTTCGCCTGTCCCTTACCTACTACAGCCCACCTTGAAACCCCCTGATAAGGAGTCTCTGAGGAGCCAGACACCCTCTTGGAATTTCATCTCTCTTGGAATTTCCCCTCTCTTGGAATTTCCCCTCTCTTGGAACTCCCCTTCTCCTGGAACTCCCCCCCTCTTGGAACTTCCACCCTCTCCTGGAGCATCCTCTTGTCTCTCTCTCCCCCTTGTCTCTCCCTGCCCCACTCCCTCAGGCCCTGCCCCGTGCTGCGTCTGGCGGCTCCACGCAGGACCTTTCCCCCTCTGTAATAAACCTGATATTCTAAGAGCAGCCTTCAGAGATCTCTCGTCTGCATCCATCCAAACCCTCCTGGAGCACAGCGTCCCCGCACCTCTCTGCCACACAACCTGGCAGCAGCCTGGGCCAGTTCCCCTGTGCCTGAGCGTGCCAGGCAGCAGACGGGGCTGGGACAAGTCCCTCCCAGCTGTCCCTGTTTGTGTGCCAGAAGCCTCTAAGGGTGGGGTGGGGGGCACAAACCAGGGCCCCTCAGAGGCTCACAGGGAGGCCCCACAGCCCCTCCTGCCCACAGCCAAATCTCTCCAGACTGCTCTGCCAGGGCTGGCAGCCTTGGGTTCCTCTGCCACCATTGCATGGCTCTGTACCCTGCATTGCTCTACTTCAATTCTTTTGCCGTTAGGTAAAACAGAACACACCACCCAGTTCCAAAACAGGGCAACAGAGACAGTCAGAAAACAGAGCACCCAAGAGGTGGAGTTATTCAGTTTTGTGAAGAACAGGCCCCAGGGAGACTTTATTGCCGCTTTCCAAGACTTCAGAGTGGCTTTGAAGAAAATGGGGGACACCTTTTTTAACAGGGCCAGTTACAATAGAATGTGGGTGAATAGTTTTAAACACAAAGGGGATCTAATCAGAGTAGGTCTAAGGAAGAACTGGTTTACTCGGAGCATGGTGCCACCCTGGCACAGCTTGTCCCAGGACTTGTAGGTGCCCATCCCTGGAACCATCCCAGGTCAGGTGGGACAGGGCTCTGAGCAACCTGATCTCTTTAAAGATGTCCCTGCTCATTGCAGGACACTTGGACCAGAGGACTTTACAGAGCCCTGCCAGCCCAGCCCAGCCCAGCACTGCTCAGCATTTTCATTTGAAGAGCACCAAGAGTGGAGGAGGTGAGGAGGAAGGGGGCTCATCTGATGCCTCGGGCCTCACTGGATGAGGAGCCCATCCCTCGCACACTCTTTCACCTGCAGCCCCTTTGCGTTTTACCTGCAGGAGCTCGTCGGCAGACCAGCGCCGCTCCTCGTCTCTCTGCAGGCAGCAGCTCAGGAAGTCACGCAGCCAAGCCGAGAGGAGCTTGGGCTGCCGCAGCTGAGGCGTCCCTGCTGTGGCTCTCAGGTGTTTAGTCTGGAGAAAAAGGGAACACGAGGCTCCACCTGCTTCTTTCCCATCTGTAACTGCTCTCCCAGAGCCCATTGTTTAACCTCCATTCTGCAGTGGCAGTTTCTGCCCTGGCAGAGACTCAGAGATGACTTTCCTTTACCAACAAAAAACCCAAACTCTGATGCCACCACAGCTTTGCCAATATCCTGCCAATCTTGCCTTGGCAGCCAATTTCATTGACTGACCTAGTTAGTGGGAACTACATCAGCAAAAGCACATCTCCTTCTCTGAGGATTCACACCAGCTGGACAGCCTTTTTGGAAGGGGGACTTTGCTATACTAACTAATTCCAAGGATTAGTACATGAACGGCATCTCTGCAGTGCTTGTTGGTCCCTTAAGCACAGTTGCCATAGAACAAGACTCATCCAGTTTTTTGTCCTGCTCTTGAAAACAATGGTAATTGGAAGAAAAGAAAGGAAATCCACCAGTTAATCCCCAGGTAAAGAAACAAACATTTACAATCCCATATTCAACACAGATACATTAAGATGCATGCACAAATGTATTGGGATGAAGATGCCTGCTTTGGCACACAGGAGCCACCTGCAGCTCTGTCTCTCAGCAGTCTAAAAATTTCATCTTCCCTTATGCAGCAAAAGAAAAACCTTTCCTGCTCAGAAAAAGGAGAAATGCCATCCCTAAGGACACCCTCTGCTCATTTGCCTACTCAAGTCAATGCATGAGTGGTAGGCCCATCCCAGAAAATGCCAGGAAACAAACAGGAGGTTTTGGCAGGCTCTCCCCCTCACCAGGCTCCGGCTTGGTGACGTGGAGAACGTGGCTTGGGCTATGAGAGAAACACGGTCACTAAGTGTTTCAGCAACACTGCACAAGAAGCAGAAGGGACTCTGTGGCCTTGAAGCCTCATGCCCAGGTTTCAGGCATCTTTCCCAGTGAGCAGAAACTGCACAGGGGGTTAAGTTCCTCTCTAGAAACCACTGTTTTGGAAACTTTGCTGGGTTTGGGGTTCTTTCCTTCATTTCTGGAAGGATAACACCAGTTCTAAGATGCTCGTTTCTGCTATTGGGGTCATCTACACAGACAAAAGAACTGGAACTGCTTATAACCCAAAGGAAAGTGTTGCCTGAGAATGGGGTTTGTTTGCATGTGGTAAGGCTTGAGTTCCACACTGATGCAACCAAAACTGCAGCAGATGCTGATGTGTTGCAGGGACATTTTTAGGTGGAAGTAGTTCCAGCAGATGGCAATGGCATTTTGTCCAATGGCACGCAGAACACGGGGCAGGTGAGAAAGACAAGCGGGATCATTATTTGCTCCTTACCGTGGCAGGACTTTGGTTCCAGTAAGGAACATTTTGTTCTACCATTTCAATTCCCACAATTCCAAAAGACCATATGTCCACTTTGGGGCCATATGGCTCACGCATCAGCACTTCAGGCGCCATCCACCAAGGAGTCCCGGCTACCGAGGACGGTCTCTTCTCCTCAGGGCCGAGCTCAACAGAGATGCCAAAATCAGCTGAGGGGAAAGCAAAGTACTGCTTTTATTTGAATTCTGTGAAATTAGGAAATCGAGCAAAGGAATTCCCCAGTAGAAGTTTGAGAACGTGCTGTTGAATGTCCTGGACAACTGTCCCTGCTCTGTTTCCTCAGGACTTTAGCCAAGGAAATACGGTATTGGCAACTTAAAAAATCCCCACATTTTTTACACTGCCTTCAGCAGTGGCTTTTGTTCTTTGGGAGCTTTAGACTTGTAACTGCCTCCCTCTGGAAGGGACACACACAGAGCAATGCCACTCTTGGCTGCTTGTTCCTCGTCATACCTCTGTGCACATTGCAACCGTGCCATCAGCTCACAGTGGGGGGGTCCCTGCACTGCCCCCAGCACCATTTTTGGGGAGCTGGCAGTCACTCAAAGCAGCCCCTCACCCCACATCCCTGGAACACTGCACCTGACCAAGGATATACTGACCCAGCTTGACAGAGCCGTCGGCTCCGAAAAGGATGTTGCTGCTCGTCACATCTCGGTGGATTACGTGGTTTGAGTGAAGAAAATCCAGTCCTTGCAGGCACTGAGAGAGAAAACAGAAACAGAAGGGCAAAAATTAGCGCTGTGATTCCATGGCACAAGAAAAGAAACAAAGAATCTAAAAGATGCCCTGTGCGGGGGAATGGCGAGTAATGGCAGAACGCAGCGCCATTGAGAGGAAGAGCTGCTGCTCCAACACTTGCAGAGCAGGACCTTTCTAAGGAAAGGCATGCCAGCTTTTGAAAGAGCAACAGCACCTGCTGTTGGTGTACACTGTCCCCTGCAAACCAGCCAGGATGACTGCTGCTGCAGTGGGTGTGCTCAGAAGCAAAGAGCATTTTGGCTGCGCCACTGTGGTTTTTAGCTGAGGAATGAGAGAAATGAGTCTCTCCTTTTTCCTTTGCTGTTCGTTTCAAATCCTGCTACCAGCACCTTTGCTTTTACAAGCAAGGAATGCAGTGAAGACAGGCAAAGGTTTAAGGAGGCAAGATGGAGAACAGCAAATGCAAGAGGCAGAGTGAGAATACAACAGCAGGAGATAAGAGTACAAGAACAGAGTACAGTGAGTGCGAGGGCACTGGCAGGCATTTCACTTGAGATGCTTTTACTTGCCCATAGCATACCAGCAATGCAGAAACAAAGCTTTATACATGAAACCTCTCCTGTTCTGAGCCCCTGTTTCCCAGACAATCCTGCCCAAACCCTTGGAAGCACAGGTGGGATTGCTGACCTCCTGACTGATGGATGCTATGTCACCTTCACACAGGCAGGTCTTGCTGATGACATCGCTCAGAGTGCCTCCATCCATGTACTCCATGACCAGCCAGAGTTCCTCACCCCGAAGGTAGCTGAAAGAAGGAAACAAGGGCATGGGGATGAACGTACATGGCTACATTGCTGTTTGGAAAAGACAGGGGTTGATTCATGTTTTCGGGTCCCTTTGAGACAAAGGCAGAATCAAAGCAATAGACATTCCCTCTTGGCTGTGTGTGGTTTGCAATCTGTGCAGTCTCAAGGAGAAAAGAACAGCTGTGAAAAAGGAGATGTCTTAGATGTCCAGCAAGCGAAAAGCGTGGTTTAGTAACAGCCCAGATAAAAAGCCTGTCACGCATGGTGTTTCTGGAAATAAGCACCTAGTCTTCCTGGCATGCATAGCAATGGAAAAGAAGGGCAACAATCCAAGGGAAATCAGCTTTAGGATGGTTCACCAGCATTTAAAAAACTTTTTAAAAGCAATCCCAAAAAAATGTGGAGGCAGTGAACTTAGAGGGTATTAACTTAGTCAGATACAGCTGATCCAGGTTTTGAATAATTTCTGAATAATTTTCGAACTACGTGTGCCAGGGAAGACTCATGCAGACAAGATGCACTCTCTTCTCATCCATTGGAGATGAGTAGAGAAATATTAATACAGAATAATTAACAGCTCTACTTTCTAGAAGTGACCAAAGTGGGTTTTTAACCTCTCGTGTTTGCTGTATGTAAACACACGTTCATGGGATAAGTCCATGACCACTCACCTGTCTAAATAATTCACAACACTGGGACTCCTATGCCTCTTCATGATACTGATTTCATTAACGGTTACTTGCTTCCTCTTCAATCCTTTAAGTCTTATTTTCTTTATGGCAACCTAAAATGACACTGAAAATCAGTAACTTGAGAAGTTGGTGGCACGAGACCACAAGGCACATGGAGCGAGTGATTTTGCAATGACGCAGCCGAGCTGTGCCAAACTGCCTCGTGATTAGGCACTGCAGGAACTGGAACTGACATTGCAACAGCCCATTGCTCCGTGCCCTTGGAGGCCAGTTACAGGACACGGGGCCACTGAGGTTTTGCCGTGTCCACTTGCTAACAGTGGTGTCTCAGCTATCACCCACAAACCTCTGAGCACACTCCCTGCTGCTTTGTATGGGATTCAGAAGAAGTGATCCATGCCTCAATACTCTGTGGATACAACTTGGGCGATGGCTTTTAGGGATGCCTTGCAGATCTCTCCCTGTGTGCAGTTCCCAAGTGCAGCACTGCAGGTGCCTGAGGAACTGCCAGTAACTTTCAGATGCATTTTCTGGCAGGCAGAGATGAGAATTCAGGACTCGGAAGCTGTCGCCCCAAAGAGCAGTGAGATGCTCTAAGGCACCACCTTTGTTTTAGCAATTGAGAGCGAGTGAGCACATCCTTCTCCGAAAGGAACTGATGCCCTCTGGGCCTTCTTTTTGGCAGCTGAGAAGGACAAAGACTGTCACAAATGTATTTTGCAGGCTGGCACCAGTCTGTGCTTCTTTTGCCTTTTCAGCACAGCTCTGCCCAAAGTTCTGGCCACAGCTGCCCACACCAGAGGAGAAAGCCCCTCGGGTGCAGCAGAGTCTGCGGGGGCTGTTGACATTTACCTCTCCTCCTGTGGCTTTGTTGAGTGCTGTAACCACATGTCCAAAAGTCCTAGAAACAAAACAGAAGCAGAGAAAGGAGAAGCTGTTTATTTCTTAGAGTGAAAGCCAGCCCACACAGGAGATCTCTGCTGTAAATGCCTAAAACTTGCAGGATGCAGGGGGGCTCTGTCAGAAGGCAGATGATCCTTTTTCCTCTCAAATGCATGGGCAGTGCCTGGGCCGGTTGCTGAAGCGTTGGGGTTTACTGCCTCAGCTCCTAAAGGGAATTGATTCTTTCATCTTGGGTTTCAGTTTCTAAACTGTGTGGTTCCTATCCTGACCGTGCAGTGTTTCCTTCCACAAACCATGGGAAAGAAATGTTCCTGAGAACTGTTATTTCACAGCTTTGATAGGGGGTAGGTTGCTCTTTCAGGCAAGCAAGGTTTTTCTTTTTTCATTAGTGTGGCAGTGTGATTTTGAGACATACAAAAATACTAAAGAAGTTAACACAGAGCTGTCCCACACTTGAGAGACAAAGAGATCTTCCAGGTCCTGTTCCTTGATGCAGGCAAGACCTCAGCAGCATGGAGATGTCTCTGACAATGCTTTCTGAGCACACACACAAATTCTGAGCAGCACTGAAGCGATGGGACAATCTATCCCCAGTATCTGAACACGTTTGCAGCTGGCCTGACTTCACACTGGATAGATCTTCCAGTGAAACACCTGATATACCAGCAAAACACCTGGCCCATTGTTGTGCATAAGTAACTGTGGCTGGACTCACCCCTTGCCAATATCTTCCAGTTCAGTGTATTTCATCATGGGATTTTCCATGTTCACCATTTTCCTCCCGTTGTACAGGCTAAAGCTCCCTCAGCACCCCCTCCTTGGCCTTGTGCTCCACAGCCTTCCCCATCTCCCGTGTCCTTCTCTGCACACGCTCCAGCCCCTCGAGGACTTTCTGCTTCAGAGGGGCCCACAAGTGGACACAGCACTCCCAGCCATGGCCGCAGCGCTGCCCAGCCCAGGGGGACGGTCACTGCCCTGCTCCTGCTGCCCCACTGCTGCTAACACAGGCCAGGGCATCCTTGGCCTTCGTGGCCACCTGGCCACACACTGGCCCACCTTCAGCTGCTCTTGACTGGCACCCCTGCGTCCTTTTGGCCCACGCAGCTCCCCCACCACAAAGTTGCCCGCTTGACTTCAAATAAGCATCCCCAGTTCCAAGATGTCCTTCCTCTTCTCAGCAACACAAGACAGCAGTCAAGGACTTGCAGCTTCCCCCCAGCCTAGGCACTAATGCCATTCCCAAAGCTGCAGGCTGTGTGCAGCTGTCCCTGCAGGATGGCCCCAGGGCAGAGCCCAGCCGGGCTCCCCCTGCAGCCCCTGAAGCTTGGGGCAGGCAGTGGTCCCAGAGCTGAGGTTCACGGGGAGCACCCGCAGCTGTGCCTCGCACTCTGTTGCCGTGTCACCGTGCAGGCTGGCTTGTACGGGGTGAATGTACCAGCCCTGGTTTGACTGACAGGGGCCTGGCCCATCACAGCTCTCCCAAGGCTGCAGGCATTCCCCAGGCCAGAATCTGAAGGGGCACAGAGATCAGACCAGTGAAATCATCCAGACTGGGTTTTTCAAAGGCCCTTTAGAAGGAAGGGCTTGAGAATAAACGTGCTCTGGTTGCCACAGGAACATCGGGGTGAGTGGTCTCTTTGGCTCCAACCCACTTTCCTCCCCGAGCCACCGTTACCCACTCCCTCACACGTCCCCCCTGTGCCTTCCCACTGCCTTGTCCTGTCAGGGCTTCCGCAGCCCCTCATCCCTTCGTGGCCCCGTCCCCTCAGGCTCTCCCCAGCCCGGCCAACCTGCCCAGCAGCAGCGCCGCAGCCCCACAGGAGCTCCAGAGGAGCCCATCCAGAGGCACCTGGGAGCCCTCAGCAATCCAGGCAGCAACACACGGGCAGGAGGACACGGATGGCGCTTCCTGCCTGGGACAGGGCTTGTGGCCATCTCCAGGCACCGCTCTCACAGAGATCCCCACAGCTCCAGCCCCTGCCCATCTGCTCTGTCAGCAGCACAAAGGCTTTGGCAGAACCACCAAAGGCCAAGGGGCTTCTGGCCATTTTCCCTGCAACCCTGCATGCCTGGGCAGCTTGCTGAGCCCAAGATCCCTTTTGTCCCTCTTCCCCTAGACCCTGCAGAGCCTGGGCAGCAAAAGAAAGATCCTGGGAGTCTGTCTATTACAACACATCCTATATTTATATGCTAAAGTAAAACAAAGAGAAAGAAAAGAACAATCTTAAAGAAACAAAACATTCCTGCTGGCTCGGGCGGCCCCAGCAGACAGAGCCTCTGGGTTCAGCTCTCTGCAGAGCTCCAGCAGCGCAGCCAGCCGAGCCCCGACAGACGAGGCCGTCTCCTCCATGCCCTGTGGAGCCGATCATGCAGGTTGTCAAAGATGGAGTATGGAGCTCTCTCTGCTTCCTGGAGGACGTACAATGTTTGAACTGCCAGGCTTCTGACAGGGACACTGATGTCATTGGCCATGCCTTCAAGGGCTGAAAGAGAGAGGAACAGAGCCATGGTCAGTTCCCACATCTGAGGGGACCCGAGGGGACTCTGTGCCAGGGCCATCCCAGACGGCTCTGGCCATGGCCAGCAGGGAGCAGGGACCAGCTGGATCAGCCCAAAGCTGCTGGCCAGGAATCCCCCAGGTGCCCTGAAACCTCTGTGTGCTCTGCCCACGCCGGCCCTGGTCCGCACAGGGAGCAGAGCCCTCCGCAGCCGGGGCAGGGCTCGCAGCTCCCCGCCAGCGCCCGCTGGCAGCCCGCTGCCCTCACTCACCCTCAGAGATGAGCTGGAGCTCTTCCTTCCTCCCCCTCAGGTACCGCCCGGCCGTCCCTGGGAACACAGAGCCTGTCAGGCCCGGCGGCACAGCTCCCTGCCAGCGGCGCTGCCAGCCCTGTGCCCACACGGCCTCCTGGCCCGGCTCGTGGCTCACCCATGAACCTGACGGCCGCCTCTCGCAGGGGCTCCTGTGGGCTCTGCAGGTAGGGCAGGGCCCGGCGCAGGTGCTCGGCCACGCTGCTGCTGTCCTCTGCCAGCTGCAGAGAGCGGCAGGAGGGAAGGGTTGGCCCCGCAGCCCCGCCGGGCCGGGGCTCCATGGGCACCCGGCTCGGGCCGCAGGAGCCTGGAGCAGAGCCCGCGCGGCCTCGGGCTGCAGCAGCGGGCAGGGGCACAGCTGCCAGCCCGCACACCGAGCACCGCTCTCAGGGGGCTTCTCCAGGCTGGGGCTGCGGCTTCCCGGCCCTCCTTACCAGGCACTCGGTGAACTTCCACGGCTTCTGGTTCTTCAGCAGCTTTTCGAGATCCCTCTGCTTCAGGAACTCGGCTGCACAAAGCAGCGTTTCCTGAGAAGCCTGGAGAGCAGCAGAGACGCGGAGATGGCCCCACAGCCCAGGGCACAGGACCCGTCCCTGTGCCAAGGCCAGCAGGAGGCTGCAGCCTGCGAGGTGCCAGGGCAGGAGGCAGCCCAGCCCCTGCCAGGGGAACAGCAGCAGCTGCCGAGTCCTCGCCTCTGCAACTCGCTGGTTCTCATCATGGCAGTGGAAGGAGAGTGGCAGCAGGCTCTGGCGCACGTGTGCCTTCAGGGCCTTTTTTTTCTCTTCCAGAAAACAATCCAGCATGTCTCGGAAGATAAACATGGAGCTCAACTGCACCTGGCTATCCTCCTGTATGAAAGGAAGGAAGAAAGACCTCAGCGTCAGCTGCTTCAGGCCCACCTGGGCACAGCCTGTAAGTGCACAGGGCACAAAGTGTGCGGGTAGCACCCGCTGGCCTTGGCTGGAGGCGCAGAGCCTTACGTTGTCAAAGAGTGGCAGGAGCGCCTCAGCCAGCTGCAGGGCGAGGGCGCTGGTCATTGGGGCACCATTGCAGAGAAATACAGCTCTTAGGAGAACCGTGGTCATCCTGAGCATGACGCTGTCATTTTCCTGCAGGAGCTCCACGAGCCTTTCATGCAGGCTCCACATCCTTCTGGCCATCTACTTGTGGAACACAAGTGTGTGAAACACCATCCTGCTGCCACAGGGCCCAGGGGCCAAAGGCCTGTGCCAAAGCACTGGGGCAGCTGCAGCAGGAGGCAGGAGAGCTGGCAGCAGCTGCCTCAGTGCCCCAAGGCCAGCCGAGCCCCAGGGACTGCCTTCCCCAGCCCCACGCTGGCAGCACGGCTTCAGCCCCTGCGCTCTTCTCACCGAGGCACTGGTGGTGCCGAGCACCACGAGGCCTCTGAGTGCCAAGCGACGCCTCCCCCTGCACTCGCTCTGCAGGTTCTTTGACAAGAACTCCAGGACGCTGTCACGGCATTCACTCAGGTTCAGGCGCTCCAGGACCTGAAAGGCACAGGGCAGTGACGGGGGAGCGGCCGGCGGGAGCCCAGAACCGCACAGGGCCGGGCCCAGGCAGCAGCACAGGGCGCGGGCTCCGTCCCAGGCACTGCGGCCAAGAGAGGGCAGAGAGCCGGGAGGCAGCTCAGCGAGGCAGCGCTGGCCTTCAGGCTCACCTCCACAAGGAACGCCAGGGCGGCCAAATCCCGGCATGGCGTGTCTTTGCTGAGCAGCCCGAGCAGCTGGAATGCAATCGCGGAACACACGGCTTCGGATGCGCGGCGCATTTCTCTGACAGGAGGAAATAGAAGCCAAACCCCTGAGCCAGCGGGGGCAAACCTCTCCCAGGACTGCCTCCCAGAGGTCTGGCCTTTCTCCAGCACCCTGCAAGGGGCAGCTGAGCCCTCTGGGAGGTTGCTGCTCTTGGGCACGCTCCTCTCCCAGCCTTTTGCAGCCTCCTTGGCCGTCCCTTGGTGACAAGGGCTTCTGGCCCACGGCCACGGGGACTGTGTGGGGCACCTGGGGCACAGGGCACACATGCCGGGGACAGCTGGGGAGCAGGGGGTCTCACCTGGCCAGCACGCCCACAGCACAGTGGTGGGTGTCAGCACAGAGCAGTGTGTCCCAGCCACCCTTGTCTTCCATGGCCACCACCACATCCTCATAGTGCAGTCGGCAGAGCAGGGCCTTCAGGGTCTGCTCTGCAAAGCTGTGTGCAGAGCAAAGCCCAGGTCACGCTGGGGGCACTGGCCCCTGCCCAGGGATGTGGCAAGGACAGGAGGACGTGCATGGAGCACCTGCTGGGGTTGGTGGCAAGGCCGTGTTGCTGCTGGCATCCCTCCCAGAAGGTATCGACCTCCTCTGGCATATCCAGAGTGCTGAAGAGCACTTGGAAGAGCAGATGCACAAAGAGGCAGGGGAAACACACGGTGACTACATGTGGCACACAGGGCAGCTGGAGGATCTTCCACATCACCACGGTTGCCTGCAAAGGACAGAGCATGCCGAGACAGCGCTCAGTGCCGAGGTGTCCGTGTGGCAGGGCCCAGTACGGGAGGGAGAGGCCCAGAGAGACGCAGGGGGAGCACCGAAGGGGGAGCACCGGGCCTGGTGGCCCTGAAGCTGCCCCAAGGCCAGGTTTCAGCCCAGCGCCTGAGGCAGGGAGACGCTGTGGGGGAGGGAGGATGGAGAGCTGCTGGAGAGGTGGCCTTGGGGCCAGCAAAGGCAGAAACTTACAGCCAGGGCAAGGACAGCCGTGTGGTCCCCATCGGAGGTGCACGTGCTGTGCTCTGGCCAGCTCCCCAGCACCTCGAGGAGTACGAGCATGGCCGGCTCTGCAGTCCTGGGCGTGCACATGATGCTCTTCCACATGGCCAAAGCAGCTCTGTGGGGTCAGAGCTCTGTCTCAGAGGAGTCTGGGACACAGCAGCATAGCCTGGGTGGCAGCGGGGAGCTGAGCTGCTCTGCCAGCCCTGCCTCTGCCCACTGCCCCTCACTGGCAGCACGCAGGCAGCCCAGCCCTGTGGGGACTGGCCCCTGAGGGGCAGGGGGGAAGCATGGCAGCACGCTGGGGGGCTGGCAGGGGCCAGGGCTGGCAAAGGGAGCAGCCAGAGGGCCCTGGAATTCTCTGTTGGTCAGACACCTGGGACAGGCTGTACAGGGTGAAGGGCTGCTGAGCCTTGTGGACACGTGGGCCCCGTACCTGTCACACACTGGGGCCACACGCAGGAGAGCCATCACCACGTCACAGGGCTGTGCCTCTGTCAGACCCAGGAGGGGCCTGTACAGATTGTACTCAGGAAACTCATTGGCCACCAGCCACTGGTGGATGTACCTCACCATGGCCGGCACCTGGAGAAGGCAGGGGAGACTTGGAAAGCTGCCAGAGGAAGGAATGTGCCCAGCTGCCCCAGAGAAGTGCTTCCCTTGCCACCACACTGCCATGGCCTCAAAGGCTTCCAGGGAGCAGCAGGCGTGGCTTGGGAGGCCACGCAACTGCTGGGAGGAGAAAAGCCAGGCCACAGGCTGCTCACTTGCTTTGGGCTGGAAGGACCCTCCTCCACAAGCATATCCAGCAGGGCAGCACTGGTCTTGGTTTTGAAGATGGGAGAGTACGCTCTGACCACAGTGCCCACGACGCTGCTCTCTTCCTCCCGAATCCTCTTCATGAATTTGCAAACCATCTGTAGCAGAAGGGCAAGAAGCCCGGGATGTTGCATGGAGTGCTCCGAGCACAGTGCTGGGCTGAGCAGTGCCAGCAGGCCCAGCCCAGGTGGGGATGGCTGCAGGTACCTGCGCTGTTCTGCGGAAGCGGCCACGGGTGCGTTCCTGCTCTCGTGTGCGCTGCACGGCTGCACCTGGCAAAGAGCGAGCGCAGCCCGAGCTGAGGGGCTGCGGGAGAGGCCGGAGAACACAGCCCAGCCCTGCGCTGCCCAGGCAGGGACAGCCCCGCGCCGCCCCAGGGCATGGAGCACGGCTGTGGGGTGTCTGCCCGGCCCCTATTCCATCCTGTCCATGGGCATGGCCCCAGGGGATGGGATGGGATGGCATGGCATGGCATGGCATGGCATGGGGCCAAGCTGGCTGCAGGCACCAGCCCTGTGGCCCAGCTCTGCCACTCACCCTTCTGCAGTGGCTGGAACTGCTCCACCTCTTCAGGCTGCTGTGCTGGGGCAGCTCCAGGGCCTTCTTTCTCCTCCTTCCCCCAGGCCAGCTTGGGCACGCTCGCAGGTCTGTGCTCTGCGTCACTGCCTGGATTCATGGCTACTTGCAGAAGGTGAAAAGGAAAAGGTCCGAGTCAGCAAGTGCTGCAGTCAAGCCTTGAGGGCACCTGCAAGAGTGAAGTCTTGGCAAGGCTGCAGGACAGCGAGTCCTGCACTCTGGTCTTGGGGGCTCCAGCCACAAGGACAGGAGACTCCTGTCAAGGAAAGTGCAAAGCAAATGCCACGGTCTGCCCTTGAGGGCAGCTGCAGAAGAGATGCCTTGGGAAGGCCAGGGGTCACCAAGTGCTCTGGTCTGGCCACAAGCTCACCTGCAGGAGTAATACCTCGGGAAAGCTCCGGGTCAGCAAGGAACGAGTGGCTGTGCCAAGGCTCCTTACAGCACCGCTCTCTCCGTCCTGTCTCGGCGCATGCACAGAGCACTGTGGAGTGGCCTTGTCCCTGCCAACACCTATGCCACAGCATGTCACAAAGGGCCCTTGGATACCCTGTCCCGTTCCATTCCACGGTGGCCATGCTGCACCGTGTCACAAAGGGCCCTTGGATACCCTGTCCCATTCCATTCCACGCTGACCATGCTGCACCGTGTCACAAAGGGCCCTTGCACACTCTGCCACCTGCCCTGGGGCCACCCCCAGCCCCCCAGAGTGGCCCAGGTTGGAAGGAATGCCTTGCCCCAGGTGTGTCAGACAGCCCAACAGGATCTTTAGGAACGGCTCAGACCATCAGCAAACGCTGCCCTGCTCTGCGGGCTCAGAGCAGCAGGAGCCCCCAGGGCTGCCGACGCAGCCGCGGCGGGAAGGGCACGGGGCCCTGCACAGAAGCTGGCACGGCCTCCTCGGGACACGTCCCACATGGTGGCCATCCTAAGCACGGCCGTGTGACACAGACCAGGAACGTGTGGGCCAGGGCAGGAATGCTGCTCTGAGCCTGGGGCCCGGGGAGCGCTGACATCAGCCGCTGAGGCACAGTCCCCGCCGAAGCAGAGTTCCCCCGAGCCCTGGCAGCACCGGTGCCCGTCTGCTGCCCCAGAAACCTGTGCCCCAAAAGGGCTTCTCTGCCAGAGGGCAGCCAAAGCTGGTGTGTGTTGCAGCATTTTTCAGAGAAAGAGGACATGAGTTATGAGATTTGAGCTACTCTTGCCTAGGCCTCAGATTTGGGCCTTGTGAGGCCTTCAAGCCTCTGACGCAGTTAGAAATTCAGAGCTTGTGGCGCAGATAGAAATAGGAGACAAAGACTGCTCCTCCCGAGTTCATGGGGCAACAGGGAGATTTTATTTCCCACGCCCCCCCTCACACAGGGCATTTGAAAGACCAGGCCTGGAAGTTCTCATTGGTTTGAGCTCCACGCCCCTTCAGGTTCTGGCCCGTGAGGTGCCTGCAGTTTTGGGAGATATTTGATTGGTCAAGAGCCCTGTCAATCATGATAACATCTCACCCTTCTTTTCTTTATAAAATTCTGTGTATTGTTCTCTGTCACCCATCTGCAAGGGCCCTTTGCAAACATGGTGACAGAGGACAGCGTGCAACACTGGAGCTGCAGCATTCCCCTCCAGGAACTGTTAGGGGAGAACTCAGGCCACAGGCATAATGCTTCTTGGTTACAAATTGAACTTATCTCTAAAAGCAGAAAGCTATTTAACCCTGAGCCCATTTAGCCCTTAGAGAAAAACACAATTTTAAAAAACAATCTTTAAGCACTTGATCCCTTGGAGAAAAACCAAACTCCCAGAAAACAGTCTGTAAACAGAAAAACTGTTTGTAAACATGAGAAATAATTTGTAAACAAATCAAGTCCTTCTATGAACTGTCCATGAGGCAGGTGATCATTTGTAATGCTGTCTGTGGTTTCCAGTGTCCATATTTTAGGCAGCTGTATTGTACTGTTGTAGGATTTATTGTAAAACATGAGAACAGACTCAGAGGGGAGGAGGGTGTACCCTCAATCCAACCCCTTTCCCCTTTTTTCTTTGTATAATAAATAATAATAGGAACAGAACATGGATTTTGAATACTAGTAACTTACGCAAAGTTTCATCCAGGCTTACTGATAATATTTTTCTTTACCAGCCAGGTTCAGGGCGAAGAACTTGATTGGGAGATGTTTTGATCAGAGCAAGGAACTTGTTTGGGAGATATTTTCTGTATTTCTCTATTATCTAGTGCAAACCATATATTCTTTTCCCTTTGTTAGAAGTTAGAAATTTTTTTATTGACTTTAATAGCTGACCTTTAACTTTTAAATAGATGACAAGTGGCAGAATTTCAGTGAAAAAACTTTGCAACTGCAATTTGCTTATGATAAATCCATGTTCTATGTGTACCTCAGTGGATATTCTTTGAATCATACCAGTTTATCTTGAAGCAATGCAAGAAGAATTACTAGAATATTAAGAAAAGACATATACACATACTAGGACTTCTTTAAGACAATGGTTTACTAAAATATGAATATCGATCTAATATCGATATCCGACTGAGACAGACAAAAACTCTCTAAGAGTTTAAAGTTAGAAAGTGTATATTTATTGAGACAGCCGGGCAGTACCTGGGACAATTCCCTAATTCACACTGCAAAAATCACAGGTGTTACAAAGCTTTTTTATTGACAGAAGTCTTGAATACACAAAATATGAATGCATATTCATATCCCTGTCACTTCCTCTGCTCCGCTTCATATGCTAATTGGCAGAAAGGCTATTAAGCATGTGTAGTTCTGCTCCCTGAAATGAGTCGGGGGTCCATTTTGGGGAGGGGTCTCCAAAATGAAGAAGTAAAATAAGTCTTCCTCGTTCTGACCTTTCTGCCTTTCCCATGCACACGTGACAAATGAATCCTTGCTGTTTTCCTGTGCTTAATGGATTCCTAAAGTATGGGAAGTCTGCAACTGTTTTTGTGTCCCTGAAATCTGTTTGTCACATTCTGTTTCTCATGATAAGCACAGCTACCCAAACATAAAGCTGACAAGCAATGAGTTAATAGATCCTGGATATCTTATCTAAGATCCAGCTACTGTTAACTATGAACAAAGCCCATTTATCTACTTCCACTAAGTCAGCAACATCTAATTTAACTATCATCTTATATCCTAAAATTCTTAATTCTTCCAAATTTATGTCTCACCGGGAATGGGGACAGGGAATGGGAATGGGGACAGGGAATGGGGAATGGGAATGGAGACAGGGACTGGGAGTGGTGACAGAGACAGGGAATGGGGACAGGGAAGGGGAATGGGGACAGGGAATAGGACTGGGAATGGGGACAGGGACAGGGAATACGGTACAGGGATCAAGAATGGGGTCCGGATTGGTGTGGGAGCAGGACGGGAACGGGATGGGGGGACATGGGAACAGGCAGGGGCAAGGGGAGTATGGAAGGGGAGTAAGGAATGGGGCAGCCACTGCAGGGGGACCGGGCTATGGGATGGGGACACATGGGGACAGTTCCAGGGCAGGGGGTCCTTGACCAGCTGCCCAGAACCTCCACCAGGGTCTCCCAGTGCAACTGGAGCCGCTCAGCCTGGGGTGCCCAAAGCCCTGAGCAACTCCCAGGTCCCTCCCAGGAACCCTCAAGTCCCTCAAACCCAGCATCCCCCACATCCCCTGCAAGATCCCCCCCATGTCCCCATCCTTGTCTTAGCTCAACATGTTTATCGGCAGTGTCACAGCGGGGCAGCTCTCAGTGTCCCCAGCAGGTCACAGTGTCCAGTGCAGCCCGTGCCAGCGGTCACTGCGCACACGGGGCAGGCTGGGCTGGACAGGGGACGGGGCAGAAACGCTGCCCCGGGACTGGGGTCTCCCCCTGCCTCTGGGGCCCAGCCCCTGCTGGGAGTGCCTTGGGCAGGGCACGGGGCTGCTGCTGGGCCAGGGGGACAGGCCGTGCCCCCTGTCCCTGCTGCTGGGCCAGGGGGACAGGCCGTGCCCCCTGTCCCCTGCTGCTGGGCCAGGGGGACAGGCCGTGCCCCCCGTCCCCTGCTGCTGGGCCAGGGGGACAGGCCGTGCCCCCCGTCCCCTGCTGCTGGGCCAGGGGGACAGGCCGTGCCCCCTGTCCCTGCTGCTGGGCCAGGGGGACAGGCTGTGCCCCCTGACAGCTGCCCAGGCCCCTCTGATGCCTGTCCCACGTTCCTGTGGCTCCTGTCCCCACCACTCCCCACCACCTTCACTCCCCCCTTCAAAGCCCCACTCAACCCCTTCACAGTGAGCTCTGGAAAGAAAGAATGAATGAAGGAAAGGAAATGTTGTCTGTTCACCCTGGATTGATGTCAGGCACCCACCAAAGCTGCTCCCTCACTCCCCTCCAGAGATGGACAGGAGAGAGAAAACAGAATGAAGGCTTCATGGGTTGAGCTAAGGACTGGGACCGATAACTCAGCAAATGCCATCATGGGCAAAACATTTTCAAAATTGGAGATATTAATGGAATTTATTGCTATCTGGATCAGGGCAGGATAGTGAGAAGTAAAACAAAGCTTTAAAAACACCTTCTGCCCTTCCCTCCCTCCTTCCCAGCTCTACCTCCCCCCCAGTGGGTGCAGGGAGACAGGGAGTGGGGTCTCTGGTCAGTTCATCCCCTGTTGTTTCTCCTGCTGCTCGGGGAGAGGAGTCGTTCCCTGCTGTGCCAGGGGTCCCTCCTGGAGACACTTCTCCATGAACTTCTCCACGGTGAGTTCATCCCACGGACAGCAGTTCTCCACAAACTGCTGCAGTGTGGCTCGCTCTTCCATGGGCTCACAGGTCCTGGCAGGGCCCTGCTCCAGCCTGGGCTCCTCTCCAGGGGTTTGCAGGTCCCTGCCAGGTCCCTGCTCCAGCACAGGTTTCTCACGGGGTCGCAGCCTCCGCTCAGGCATCCCCCTGCCCCAGCACGGGCTCCTGCAGGCGCTGCAGGTGCATCTCTGCCCTCCGTGCCCTCCGTGGGCTGCAGGGCCCAGCTGCCTCACCAGGGACTGCCCAGGGAATCTCAGGGCAATCAGCTCCAGCAGCTGGAGCAGCTCCTGCCCCTCCTGCCCTGCCCTGCCCTGCCCTGCCCTGGGGGTGTGCAGAGCTGCTCCTCTCACATGTCCTCACCCTGCTCCTCCCTGCTCACAGTCACAACTCCAGGATCACTCATTTTCTTAAATCTCTTATCCCAAAGGCATTACCACCATTTCTAACTGGGCCAGCCTTGGCCAGCAGCCAGTCTGTCCTGGAGCAGCTGGAATTGACTCTGTGGGACATGGAGGAGCAGCTGCTCTCACAGAAGGTGCTCCTAGAGCCCCTCCCTTACCAGGTGCTCCAGCCCTCCCCAAGGCACAGAGAGAGAGCAGAATGGACAACATTGCTCATCTACTGTGTCCCTCACCGAGATCACCTAAGTCTCTTATTCAGCTCCACGCTTCATGATGGGCAGTGGTAATTTGAAAGCTCTAGATAAACACAGACACCTCAAGTAATGAGCTGCAGAACAAATATCTCTCACTATAAATCAAGCAAAAAAAAAGTAATTAAAACCAATCTAGCAAACTAAGCATGAAACGAATGCAGAACTGTTCCATCAGAGGAAACCCTGCTGCACTGCAACTTGGAATTTTTTTTTCCACTTTCTTTTAAAGACGTAATCCTGAAGTGCAAATATAGAGACGGTGAGGGGAGAAGCAGCAGAGTTCAGAGTATAAGGCCCCCTCACACACAACAGGATGGTGGGAATAGTCTAGTACCTTATAAAAAATATATCGGTACTACTGTTTTCAGTACATCAGAGAAGAGGAAATAATTGATCTCTTTTTTTCATTTCACCTTCTTCAAAGTAGTCAATAGTTTAAATTTCAGATAAGAAGCAAAGAGGAAGAACGGGACAAAGATTGAAAGCATATGCTGCTTGGACACGGATGTTATTCCAAGTAAACCCTATAACTGTGCATTAGATTATGCACTGCTTTCTCCATGCAATACTTGTGTAGCAATTTAAGCTGGCCAGCAGAGTACTTCAGTCTGTTACTAGATCTATTGGACTCTTCCCTTCTCTCTGCTTTTCCAGCTCCTGAAAAATCCACTAGATGATAGCAGCAGGAAGCTCAGAAGGGAGTCTGCTTTTCTGCAGGCACAGGGAGAGTGAGTGTTGAACCAAATCAACTTCCAAACAATGGACCGATCCCCAAAGAGTCCAATTTTTTCTTCTGCTTCCTTTAAGAACACTCATTGCCTACCAGTTTGCATGATTCCCACTTGTGCTCAAGATTAATGAATTTGGGGGTTTAGACTGCTGCTCAGTATGGTAGCACCCATAACCTGCCTTGGGCTATAGAAAACAAAGAGTTGGCATCACTGAATCTCTGGTCTGTTTCTTTCTGTATGTTAGGAAATGTTTCCCTAAGCCTTGATAGCAGTGATCCTGGTTCTAACTGGTGTTTTAAACAGGGAATTTCCTATTTTATATTCTAAAGATTGATGGGGTTTCTCCGTGTCTTTGTAGGGGATGGAAAACCAGAAGAGTGAATGCCCATCTGTCAAGGAGCCGGTGGAGAAGAGGAATGATGGCCCGAAGAAGCCCCGGGACACGATGCCTTCTAGCAAACGGTACTGAGCACTTTTGTGAGATGTGACCAAGCACATGACAAGCTTTACATGCCTCTCCCTCAGGAAAATCTTTCTGGCAGAGATGACCAGTGCCAGGGATTGTTTCCTCTCCCTACAAACACTCTAGGATAAAAAATGTCTACCTCTGCATTACACTGAACACAACTTCTCTGGAGGGGTTTTCACAAAAATGGAGAGACAAAAAGACACCCATTGGTTGCAGCTCAGGCAATCCACTGCAATGCCAAGGGCACAGTTGTGGAGGCTATGCCAGGGCCAAGTTTCTGCTGCCTGACTTGGGATAGTAAATTCAACCAGGGCTTTTTTCATCTGAGTGGAATCTTTTTCAGATGGGTATTTTGATGAGAAGTCCCAGTCTAGAAGCAAGATGCCATTCCACAAAGATTCAGTCCTCATCCATGTGGTTTGGCCTGGCTGAATCATGGTTTTCTTACCCTCAAACAGTACCAAGTTTGAGTAGTAAGTAGCAAGGCAATTCCTGAGCAGCTTTGGTCAACAGGTGTCTCAATGTGGGCTTTTTGTCTTGATATTCCTGTCCTTCATATAGGTTGCTTGATGGACAGCATGTTTGGTTGATTTCCTCCTGTGCTGCAATCAGCATTTAAGAAGGAATTTTGTCCTCGCTGTCTCTCCATGCCAATGGCAGAGACTTGTACCTGTTCTCCTCTGATAGCAGAGGGGATTTATTTAGCTCTGTCACACTCAGTGGTGTCAGGAAAGTGACCACGTGCCTCAGTAGCATGGCTAGCATCTTCCCATGCTCATGAATGAGAGAGGATGATCCAGGAGAATTGTTCCCAGTGGGGTTGTTAAGCTGTGGATCTGGTCTCTAGGGAAGCAAATGAAATGTGAGCATAGTTCTGGGATATCTGGCTTCTGGTTTTATCTCTGTTACTGATTTTCTGGATCCTTCAGATATGTCCCTGTTCATTTGTTCAGATGCATCTGAGCTACTTTTCCAAATTGTCATGGCTGGTTGTAGAGGCACTTCTCCAGAGCAATGAGTTGCCTTATTATAAGACACACACGTCCCATATGAGGAGGCATTTAAACTTGGAAGTAGCGTCTCTCTTTCCCCACAAAGCAATGTGACCTGTGTGCCTTGGAAGCCATCTGAAGATAGATCAGATGCATCTCATCCTTGGTTTTCCTGAGTGAGCAGTGTGAGAATGTCACTTGCAGATTGTCTCCCATAATGATTGTCACAAGGTTCACATTGTTCTTCAGAGCCTCATTATTTTCTAGCTTGAAATCACATCATTAGGAAAGCTCCTCAAGATATTTGCTCACATTTCACTGAAGATATCATCACCAACAGGTTCTAATTTGGTTTTGTTTTCCAGGGTGGAGTCTACTTCTGATGGACGCCTATTACACCGTGCGAAAGCCCAGGTCACGTTACCTGCAGCTGTGGAAGAGATGGATATGCTCCAGAAGCTTTACCATCTCCTGCAAGCCAAGGGGTTTCAGACACGGCTGGAAGGAGTGGCACTCCTCCTAGAGCTGTGCAAAAGCAGCCCCCAGCTAATCTCCAAGAACATTGTCCAAGTATGTAGGGTATTTTCATTCTTCCCTTCCTTTAGCTCCTTTCCCAAGCCTGTAGGGTAAAGGTAATTCAGTGTGTCTTGGCACAACATCCTGGCTGTTTGGGACAGGCTGGTCCCTCTTACCCAGACAAATTTAATTCAGGTCCAGGCTTAAGGACAAGTTATTTCAGTCCAGCTGTATTTGTCTGGCAGGTGCCTATTGAGGCTGTTCATCAGATGATGACAGAATTTTCTTCTGGTGTAACTGCTGCTGTCTCCTACTCCCAGTTGGGTTAATTGAAGGGAATCCAGCCACTGAAAGCATGGCAATTATTATCCAGATTAAAAATGGGTTTGCATGGGGAACAGAAGTATCAGGCTGGGTTGGTTTAAACCCAGGATTTTTTAAACAATACATCTGTAAACTCCATCTTGTCTTACACAGGCACAACTCTGGCTACTCATTTCCATCCTTGTCCCTATTCCTCTTGGTAAAGACAGTTCTCAGCCTTCTTGGGGAGCCTTTTTTTCTCTTTGGAAAAGGAGGAAAACAGCTAAGGACAGATCTCTGCCTTCTCCTCCCAGTAGCTGCTTTTTCCCTTTTTCCAGAAAAAGGTGCCTGATAATGTGGCTGTCGAGGGGACTGAACCTGCTCTAATGAGAGCTGTACAGCACATTGCATTTCAGAAGTCCACCTTTTACTTCCAGAGAAGTGGTCTGGATCCTGGAGGGGTTGATCGGAGCCCTGCACTTCTCCAGACACAGATTCTGAGACAAACAAAATAAAACTTAGATCTCCTCCAGCCATAGTTTTGGAAAAATCATAATTGCCCTCAGTATTTGAGGCAACTGTATAGAAAAATGGGCATTGTAAATATCTGCTTCCATACTTGTAAAGCAAAGGTAGCCTTTTGCATTAATAAATGGAATTGATTTAATGATTTATAGATGGAGAGAAATGCCATAGGAACTATTCTGTCCCCAACCAAAACTCTTAAAAACAGAAGAAAATCATTCAAGCAGCATGAGGTTGCACAACCATTCCAGTGAGTGTCCCACAGGAAAACAGTGAAATTGTGCAAGCAAGTGCTGACCTGAGAGAAAGGATCTCCTGAGTGCTGCATCCACACTTCAAACAAGGACATTTTAATCCAGCTTTCATGTTGCTTGTTCTCTTCACAGATTTTTGATTATTTTGTCCTGAGAATATGTGACAGCCACAAGAAAGTGAGGCAGAAGGCGCTGGACGTGCTGGCTGAAATCATAGGCCTCCTGGATGATGCCATGAACCCGGTGATGATCCGCTTGGTAGAAGGAATAGCAAAGAACCTGAGCTCAAATGATCCCGGGGTTCATGCTGCAGCTGTGAGAGCACTGGAAGAATCCGTTGCTCATTTAGGTGAGGCTGAGCCCTGGCAGGGACTCCCCTCAACTGCGTCTCCATCTGTCCTACACAAGAGAACACTGAGTGCATTGACAGCTGCTGTTGTCTGTGGAACGCTCCAGCTGACACCCACCAGAAGCTGTGGAGGTGCAGCCCTTATGCACCAGTCCCCCAACAGGCTTGCATGTGACCAGCATTTCCCAAAAGTCCCAGGAGCCCTTGGCTCTGTGCTGCTTGTCTGAAGAGCGAGTCCTGGACTACAGCTTTGCTACAATTCAGGGGCAAAGGGGTTTTGGAGTTTGCTTGGGCCCCGTTTGACTTCCCAAAAGAACAGCTTGGCTGTTGGCATGAAGGGACACTGGCCCATCAGAGCTTCTGCACAGCAGCCACCTGGAAGGCTCTACATTATAGGCATTAGCTGCCTATTTTCCCTTTTTCTTCTTTGTCTTTTTTCAAAGGGGAACTTACAATTCACCAAGTTCATTTCTTTATAACAAACAAGTCTAAATCCAGCTGTCAATGGTGCCTTGTTCCACATATTGTTTTGCATGGGGCAAGATTGCTCTAGCAAATACCTACATGGGCACTGGCTGCTCTAAATTCCTTTGCCACACAGATTTATGTCATCTCTGAAAATGGCTGAAAAATTGAGTGTTTGAAGAGGTCTCCAAGGGGCATTTCCACTTTCTCCACCTCAGCTGCTCTGTGACTCAGGAACTGCCTGAGTCAGCGTCTTTCTGTGTCCCAAGGATGGGGTTCTTCCTTTTTGCTGTGGGATACAAACCCTTTTCACTGCTTACATGTGACTGACCTCTTGAGATCCCTGATGTGAAATGTTTTAACATAGCTCCTGGTACAGAAGACAAGCTTGGATTTACAAATGTGAAAGGAGAGCTTTTCTTTTGGGATTTTAAACCCTGCCAAGTAGGCTGGAAGGAAAGATGAAAAGGGTTCAAAAATCAGCAGAAATTTACTTTCTTGTATAAAATGGAGTTGCTCCTGCCCTTTCCCTCCTCACTGTCCTTTCTCCTATGACCTCAGAAGAGTGAGCAAAAACATGTGTTTCACTTGTAGATAAAGTATCACTGATGAAAGAGTTCAGCCACCAATGGAGCCAACTGAGTGGCCAAGCTCTGCTGGATGTCGCAGAGTGTATCGCAGGTATGGCCTCCAAATATACTGCTGGTAGTAAATTTTTGTCTGTGTTTGATATAGTTCAGTTCAGAAAATGAGCAGAGAGATTTCAGAAACAATGTGAGAAAAATACTTGTGTTTTGGTTAAATTTCAATCTGCTGTGTAGCATTTTTCTCTCTCTATGCCCGTATTTCAGTGGACATTATAAGAAAAAATGCCATTAACATTGGGAGAGGAAATGCCATTAAAATGTGGAGATGCCCAAATGCCAAGGCAATGGGGTCTGGGTAATTAAGACACGCTGAAGTTTGAAACAGCTCTGTGTTGGGAGCTACAAAAACATTCTGCCAAAGACACCAGCTAGTCACTGATGTTTCTAATCCAGCTGTCGAGCAGCAGCCGTCTCTGGTGGGCTGGAGCTTTGAAGTGTGCTCTAATACTGCCCTTTGCTGTGTGCCACTGAGCAAAGGGAAGAGTCAGATTAGACTTTTGGCACTTGAAATCAAAGTCACAGACATGGAGTCACCCCTTTTACTAGAAATCTTTCAATTGCCTCTCTAGGGTGCATTTCCAAATCTTCAGTGTGGGTTTAGACAACTCCTTAATGGGAATAAAATGCAATTTGACATTTCAGTCATTGTTCATGCAGAAACAGATTGTGAAATAATTTAGTAAAGGTACAAAGTCTGCCACAGGTACAAGGCTCTGGTTGGAGAAATTAGTCCTGAGGGGTTGGTGGTTCTGTTTCAAGGATGATCAGCTGCTTTGCCCGTTTCTGGATCATGGGGCTCCATGTGCTATTTCACTGATCTTAGCCAGAGAGGCTTCCAAGAAGCAAAAGCAGAGGTAGATCCTTGTTTGCATGGAGCTTGGTGGGTAAGAAGCTGTGCCTCTCTCCCGGCAGAGCTCGTGGAGTGGGTTTATGCCAGGAGCCCTGAAGTCGTCCAGCGCTATGCCCTGCCCGTGCTCTGGTCCTTCCTGGACAACAAAGCGCTGCCTGTCCGCAGTGCCAACATCCGCACGGTGGCCACCAAGCTTGCCCTGGCCCTCTACGAGGCGATGGGCAACAAGCTGAAGAAATGTGCAGCCAGCAAGCCTCCACACATGCGGGAGAACCTCTCCAACATTTTGTACTGGTGAAGGCAGGATGTTCTCCAGGAAGATGACCAAGTGCTGAGTTGGACACCTCCGGATTTGACTTCTTAGCTGTGCCAAAAATGACAAAACACTAAGGAAGGGTGTGCATCGGCCCCCGCTCTCGCCATCGCCCATCCTAGTCATGACATGGGGGGCCTGAAGAAACTCCAGACTGAAGACAAGGTGAAGACTGAGCATGGATCAGCCTCACACAGAGGTGAGGGGGGAGCTGGGCCGCTCTCTGGAGGGAGAAAGGGTCCTGTGGCAGCCCAGAGAGCCTGTGCACATTGCCAGGGAACAGCTGTGCCCTGCATGTGCCCCTGCAATGAGCTGTGCTCTGCCAGAGCCCCTGGAGCTGTAGGGCTGCTCAGCTTTGGGGCAGGGAGAGGAGCAGGAGGGTGCATGTGCAGCTGAGCATGGAAAGCACAGGGCTCTGGGCTCCTGCTGTCCCAGGGCAGCCCAGAGGCCAGGCTGTTCCTGTGGCAGCCCTGTGCAAGCGGGTCAGGGTTTCCCCTGGCCTGCCTCAAGTGTCTGCTGGCAGGAGCACGTTTCCCTGTGCAGCTGTTTAGAAGTTGGCAGGAAATGTGTCCCATGAAATCTAGAGCTCAAGCTGCTTTAGGTTTGCATTGTGGCATCTGTTAAAACTTTGTGTCTTCACTTTGCAGACCTGACTGGCTATCCTCTTACCAAGAGGTTTTCTCTGGACACTCCTGATTGTCTCTTACACACAAAGTCCTTGCTTCCCATCCAGAAGAGCTCTCATCCCTCCAAGCTCAGGAAGAAGCTGCCGCCTGCCTGAAGAGTAGTTGAAGAATAGGATTTATGCATTAGTCTTCATAGATACAGATATACATATGTTCTGATATTTAGATGTAGTTTTGATTAAATGTATTTTGATTGTATCTTGAAATTTTATGACATATTTTTAAGTGTATATATTTTAGTTTTATGATTTTAAAAAAGGTAAATAAATAAATAAACTTTAAATAAGCCAAGCGGAGAATGTGAGACCCAGACCTATCTAGCCTAGAGGTTATGGGAGTGCAGCTCACTCGATGTGCCAGTGTCTCACCACATCCTTTCATCACTGGGCCTCTCCTCTTCCTCTTTTGACACGTTTTCTTTGTGTCATTTGTGCTGCTCTTTGTCATTTGACATTACAACTCAGCCACCCATTGACATGTCTGGGGGACAATGGACCCACAAGATCCTGTCTAGTCAAAAGTTTTCCATGTAGATGTATTCTGTGCTCACAAAAAGGCCTGAGCAAAGAAATCAAGAGGAGTGTGCCCAAATCCCAAAGCTTTGCTCCTTTGCAACCTCACACAGATCTGGCTCACGGGTGTTTTTAATCACAATTTCATAGGTATGAAGAGGACATGAGAAAAGATGCACTGCTTTGGAAAAATCATCTGTATGTATATTTACCCAGGACAGCAGTCCAACTGTGTTGTTTGCAACCTGTTTGCAGAAGGATGATTGGACTGTGAGGCCAATAACAAGTGACAAGGGTTCCTCAAATCTTTTTACACTCCAGCCTGGGTGCCATTCAGACCACAGTTATAGGATAATACTGTAGTACATCCCACACACATTCTACCTCCAATAAAAGCTTGGCTTGTCTTATTAGAGTGAAATAAATAGAAGAGTAATAAAATGAACAGTTACACTTGTCACTTTGGAATGACTCTCCTGCTTTCCAGTGTCAACCCTGCACCTCATGCTCCCAAGGCTTGTTACGAACAAGTGTCCGAGATTGCTTATAAATTCTTTGGCAAGGTTCAGTCAAAGCCAGATTGAATATTGAGCAACAGCTCAACAAAATTCAATGGCAGCACTCACACTATTACTTACTAGTCGATTAAGGCACAACAAGGAAAAAAAGTAACAAAATACAGTCAATCAAACAAGAAATGTACTGAGAACTATACGTCTGTGTGTGTGTGTTTGTGTGTGTGTGTGTGTGTGTGTGTTTGTGTGCATTTGAGAAGGGGACAGAAAGAGCAAGGATCCAAAGGAATACCACCTAAAAGCTTAACAGCACTCAAGCTTAACTCCAGGTCAGCTGGAGCCTCCAGGAGTGGGGCTGTTGGCCCAGGATCCATTGTTGATGGGTGATCCTGCCAGAGCAGCAAACCTGCGAGCTCGCTGGCTCTGAGAGGCCCCACGCAGAGGGAGGCTGCTGCTGGCAGCCGCTGTGCTCCAGGAGAGCTCCAAGGGCCTCCTTTTGGAGCGCTGATTATAAAATAAAATGCTTCACCATGGCTGTGCTTTGGGTCAGCAGCCTGCCTTTGAAAGTGGGAGAAGAAGGATGTCGTGCCACTGAGGCCAGAAAAGTGGTTTCCAAGGCTGTTCACAGAACAGCCCAGGATCTCGTTAGACAGCACAAGTTCCTGGAGCACTCAATGTTTCTGAAAAGCTCCAGAGGAGCTGGGTCCAGGGGCTGTTCAGCAAGGCCGAGGCCTGACAAGCCTTTCTCAAATCACTGTGTGGCCTGACAAGGCCGGGGGGATTCACCACCACAATCTGAAACATGAAGTTTGGATGTAGGGTAAAAAGCCACGGCCCAGTGGAAGTGGGTCATGTCCTCAGGCCCGTGGGAGAATCACAATGCAGATCCTTGTGGTAGTGATTCCATTTCTCCCCACTTTTCTAAATTCTTGGTGGCAAGGTCACTTAGGTTAGACACCCAGCTCACAAGCAGTTCTCCTGAAGTTTTCTGCACAATGAATTAAAATGAGAATCCTGTCACATCCAAAAATTGTGTTCTGTTGTGGTTTAATTACTGTTTTGAAGAATTTCTAGAGCAGCAAATTTGCTTCCTCAAATATTTACTGTGCATGGCATGGAGCACGGAGGAAAGATTTAATGTTAAAAGCATCACCCTGGCAATGTTCTTTTGACAGGTTTTGCCCTGAGCTTTCCTTAGGATTTTCTGAAAGATTCAATGTCACTAGCAGAAGCTCCTGCAATGGCTGCTGGCCAGCAGAGAGGGCTGTCAGCTGTAAAACAAGTGTTGCCACAAGCAGCAGCTTACCCAGGGCAGCAAATCAAGAGCTGGGAAGGAGCTCATCTGAAGGCCAAACCTCTTTCGGTCCTTCTAAAAGGCTGGAAGAGTTCCTCGTTCCAATGAGGCGGATGCTGGACACCACAGCTCTATGTGAGGACTGGACACAAGTCTGCTCCCACTGAGCGCTGTGATGGTTTCTGCAGGAGCTCTGGGCTCCTGCGTGTGGTGACACAATGAGGAGTCAAGGAGCCAAGTGCACTCCTCAAATTCCAAATGGTGCAGGATGTCTCCCAGACCCAACCTGCCACCACCTACAACTCCAGCTGCCCTGGCAGTGCCAAATGCCTCTTACAAACTGACATCAGGAAACTGGGGGGTGAGTGTTGTTTCCCATGGGAAAGGGCTGGCGTTCATTCATGTCCATGGGCCTGCAACTGGAGCTGGTGCTGCATCTTTCACATTGCTTTAACCCCCCTGCCAAGTGCTATCTGTGGCTGAGAAAGGACACAAAAGGATTAACATGACACAGAAGTCTTCCTTTCACTTATTTCCTCTGTTAATGAAACCCATCTAATTAAATGAAGCACGAGCACGGCCAGGCCGAGCCCCGCCATGCCTGGAAGCACGAGCACGGCCAGGCCGAGCCCCGCCATGCCTGGAAGCACGAGCATCCCCTGCCCCTGCGCCGGCTGGGGACTCATCTTGATTTCATCGGGGTTCAGAGTGTGTCCTCCATGAAGGGGCTGCAGCCAAAGCCAAAAGGCTTTGCCCCGCCAGCGGCCAGCTCCAGGATGGTGTTCCCAGCTGCACGTGGTGCTCCAGAAGAACATGCCAGCTGTGCCTCGGCTTGCGGGGACATCACGATGCCATTGAGCTGCAGGGGGATGTTTCCCCTGTTCCAGTCTTTGGCACCTTCACCGCACTGCCACCGCTTCTCCAACAGGACAGGGAGCACTGAGCCGCTCCCTCCAAAGCTCGCTGGGACCAGCAGAAGCATCTCCCCGGCTGCGCTCTCTCCTCCGTGCTGCGGCCACAGGGAAACGCTCCGGGGTTTTCTTGGAGTGCCACAAGACGCGTGCAGCTGGTACTTGCTGGGCTCCTGGATCCTACTGAGCGGAGCGATGGATCTCTGCTGTCTCTTGGGCCAGGCAGGGCTCCTGCAGCCAAGAATGCTCAAAAAGGTCTTCCAGTGAGGGCCTGTCTGTGGGGTCCATGGATAAACACCACCTGATGAGGCGCTGGCACTCTGCAGTGACAAACCAGACACGGCCGCTCAGCGGGACAAGGCTCCTGTCCACGCTCTCCCACATTCCTCGGTGCCCAGGCCACACTAGAAGAGCTGCAGCCAAAAGCTTTCTGTCGATCCTCCCTTCCGGATGAGAGCAGCACAGAGGCACACGTGCCACCTCCTCCAGCTAAGCCCAGGAGATCAGCCTCCTCACTAGCTGCAGGAGCAGGGCGCCTATGTGCCAGCTGCCCCCTCCCAGCCCCATTCTTCCTCCCGAGCCTTGAAGGCACATCCCCACCTTGAGACACCCGGGGAGGGAAGAAGAGCTGGCTCCGGACGATGTCCTCGTTTGTGTGGAAAGGAAGGTGCCCACAGACCATGTCATAGAGCAGGATGCCCAGGGACCAGATGGTGGCTGGCCGGCCGTGGTAGCAGCCAAAGAGGATCCACTCCAGTGGGCTGTATGGGACACAGGCACAGCTCATCAGGCTGATGCTGCTCCCTCCCTTCCTCCCTCCCAGCCAGCTCCCGTTCCGCAACAGCCAGCCCCTGCCCTGCTGAAAAGTAACTTGGCTGCAGCCGGCTGAAGAAGATTTCCCCCTCCCTCTTCCCCCTCTGCCAGCAAAGGGGGAACCTCTGCTGCCTGGCTGGGCCCCAGCATTGGGCTCACCTGACATCCGTGTGTAGAAGGTGTCCTGGAGGATCGTGCCGCACCCGAAGTCAATGAGCTTCGCCTCGCCCGTGGCCAGGTTGACGAGGACGTTCTGGGCCTTGATGTCGCGGTGCAGGACGCCGCGGCTGGAGCAGCGCCGCACGGCCTCCAGCCCCTGGCGGAACAGCCCCGGCGCCACGGGCTCCGTCAGGAACCCCCGCTCGGCCAGCGAGTACCAGAGGTCCTGGCAGCGCTGCGGACGCTCCATGACCAGCGCGAAGCCGTCGGGCAGCTCGAACCAGCCCAGGAGCCGCACGATGCTGTGGAAGCCAGGGCACGACACCATCCACAGCAGCGCCAGCTCCAGGGGCACAGGGGCGCCGCTGTGCTGCGGGGGAACCACGATGCCCTCAGCGGGGCCGATGCTGCGCCGCGCCTCGGGCACCCCTGCCCGGCCCCAGCGCAGGAGGGGCAGGAGCCGCTCCAGCTGCTGGAGCTGATTGCCCTGAGATTCCCTGGGCAGTCCCTGGTGAGGCAGCTGGGCCCTGCAGCCCATGGAGGGCACGGAGGGCAGAGATGCACCTGCAGCGCCTGCAGGAGCCCGTGCCGGAGCAGGGGGATGCCTGAGCGGAGGCTGCGACCCCGTGAGAAACCTGTGCTGGAGCAGGGAGCTGGCAGGGACCTGCAAACCCCTGGAGAGGAGCCCACGCTGGAGCAGGGTCCTGCCAGGACCTGTGAGCCCATGGAGGAGCGAGCCACGCTGCAGCAGTTTGTGGAGAACTGCTGTCCGTGGGATGAACTCACCGTGGAGAAGTTCATGGAGAAGTGTCTCCAGGAGGGACCCCTGGCACAGCAGGGAACGACTCCTCTCCCCGAGCAGCAGGAGAAACAACAGGGGATGAACTGACCTGAGCCCCCATTCCCTGTCTCCCTGCACCCACTGCGGGGGAGGTAGAGCTGGGAAGGAGGGAGGGAAGGGCAGAAGGTGTTTTTAAAGCTTTGTTTTACTTCTCACTATCCTGCCCTGATCCAGATAGCAATAAATTCCATTAATATCTCCAATTTTGAAAATGTTTTGCCCATGATGGCATTTGCTGAGTGATCTGTCCCAGTCCTTAGCTCAACCCATGAAGCCTTCATTCTGTTTTCTCTCTCCTGTCCATCTCTGGAGGGGAGTCAGAGAGCAGCTTTGGTGGGTGCCTGACATCCAGCAAGGGTGAACAGACAACATTTCCTATCCTTCATTCATTCTTTCTTTCCAGAGGTCACTGTGAGGGGGTTGAGTGGGGCTTTGATGGAGGGAGTGAAGGTGGTGGGGAGTGGTGGGGACAGGAGCCACGGGGACGAGGGACAGGCATCAGAGGGGCCTGGGCAGCTGTCAGGGGGCACGGCCTGTCCCCCTGGCCCAGCAGCAGCCCCGTGCCCTGCCCAGGGTGCCCCAGAGGCAGGGGGAGACCCCAGTCCCGGGGCAGCGTTTCTGCCCCGTCCCCTGTCCAGCCCAGCCTGCCCCGTGTGCGCAGTGACCGCTGGCACGGGCTGCACTGGACACTGTGACCTGCTGGGGACACTGAGAGCTGCCCCGCTGTGACACTGCTGATAAACATGTTGAGCTAAGGCAAGGATGGGGACATGGGGGGGATCTTGCAGGGGATGTGGGGGATGCTGGGTTTGAGGGACTTGAGGGTTCCTGGGAGGGACCTGGGAGTTGCTCAGGGCTTTGGGCACCCCAGGCTGAGCGGCTCCAGTTGCACTGGGAGATCCTGGTGGAGGTTCTGGGCAGCTGGTCAAGGACCCCCTGCCCTGGAACTGTCCCCATGTGTCCCCATTCCAACGCCTCGTCCCCCTGCAGTGGCTGCCCCATTCCTTACTCCCCTTCCATACTCCCCTTGCCCCTGCCTGTTCCCATGTCCCCCCTATCCCGTTCCCATCCTGCTCCCATCCCAATCCGGACCCCATTCTCGATCCCTGTACCGTATTCCCTGTCCCTGTCCCCATTCCCAGTCCTATTCCCTGTCCCCATTCCTGGTCCCTGTCCCCATTCCCTGTCTCTGTCACCACTCCCAGTCCCTGTCTCCATTCCCATTCCCCATTCCCTGTCCCCATTCCCGGTGAGACATTAATTTGGAAGAATTAAGAATTTTAGGAAGTTAAGATGATAGTTAAATGAGATGTTGCTGACTTAGTGGAAGTAGATAAATGGGCTTTGTTCATAGTTAACAGTAGCTGGATCTTAGATAAGATATCCAGGATCTATTAACTCATTGCTTGTCAGCTTTATGTTTGGGTAGCTGTGCTTATCATGAGAAACAGAATGTGACAAACAGATTTCAGGGACACAAAAACAGTTGCAGACTTCCCCTACTTTAGGAATCCATTAAGCACAGGAAAACGACAAGGATTCATTTGTCACGTGTGCATGGGAAAGGCAGAAAGGTCAGAACGAGGAAGACTTATTTTACTTCTTCATTTTGGAGACCCCTCCCCAAAATGGACCCCCGACTCATTTCAGGGAGCAGAACTACACATGCTTAATAGCCTTTCTGCCAATTAGCATATGAAGCGGAGCAGAGGAAGTGACAGGGATATGAATATGCATTCATATTTTGTGTATTCAAGACTTCTGTCAATAAAAAAGCTTTGTAATACCTGTGATTTTTGCAGTGTGAATTAGGGAATTGTCCCAGGTACTGCCCGGCTGTCTCAATAAACATACACTTTCTAACTTTAAACTCTTAGAGAGTTTTTGTCTGTCTCAGTCGGATATCGATATTAGATCGATATTCATATTTTAGTAAATCATTGTCTTAAAGAAGTCCTAGTATGTGTATATGTCTTTTCTTAATATTCTAGTAATTCTTCTTGCATTGCTTCAAGATAAACTGGTATGATTCAAAGAATATCCACTGAGGTACACATAGAACATGGATTTATCATAAGCAAATTGCAGTTGCAAAGTTTTTTCACTGAAATTCTGCCACTTGTCATCTATTTAAAAGTTAAAGATCAGCTATTAAAGTCAATTAAAAAAATTCTAACTTCTAACAAAGGGAAAAGAATATATGGTTTGCACTAGATAAAATAGAAATACAGAAAATATCTCCCAAACAAGTTCCTTGCTCTGATCAAAACATCTCCCAATCAAGTTCTTCGCCCTGAACCTGGCTGGTAAAGAAAAATATTATCAGTAAGCCTGGATGAAACTTTGCATAAGTTACTAGTATTCAAAATCCATGTTCTGTTCCTATTATTATTTATTATACAAAGAAAAAAGGGGAAAGGGGTTGGATTGAGGGTACACCCTCCTCCCCTCTGAGTCTGTTCTCATGTTTTACAATAAATCCTACAACAGTACAATACAGCTGCCTAAAATATGGACACTGGAAACCCCAGACAGCATTACAAATGATCACCTGCCTCATGGACAGTTCATAGAAGGACTTGATTTGTTTACAAATTATTTCTCATGTTTACAAACAGTTTTTTCTGTTTACAGACTGTTTTCTGGGAGTTTGGTTTTTCTCCAAGGGATCAAGTGCTTAAAGATTGTTTTTTAAAATTGGGTTTTTCTCTAAGGGCTAAATGGGCTCAGGGTTAAATAGCTTTCTGCTTTTAGAGATAAGTTCAATTTGTAACCAAGAAGCATTATGCCTGTGGCCTGAGTTCTCCCCTAACAGTTCCTGGAGGGGAATGCTGCAGCTCCAGTGTAAATTAGATGCACGCTGTCCTCTGTCACCATGTTTGCAAAGGGCCCTTGCAGATGGGTGACAGAGAACAATACACAGAATTTTATAAAGAAAAGAAGGGTGAGATGTTACCATGATTGACAGGGGTCTTGACCAATCAAATATCTCCCAAAACTGCAGGCATCTCACGGGCCAGAACCTGAAGGGGCGTGGAGCTCAAACCAATGAGAGCTTCCAGACCTGGTCTTTCAAATGCCCTGTGTAAGGGGGGTCGTGGGAAATAAAATCTCTCTGTTGCCCCATGAACTCGGGAGGAGCAGTCTTTGTCTCCTGTGCCCTCGCTGCCCCACCAGACCAAAGAGATGTTCACCAGGGCCCTCCCTGTTTGTGGCCGTCCAGTGCCGAGCTGAGCAGGCAGCCAGTTGTGCTTGCACGTGAGCTGCCACAGGAAGACACACAGCAGCTGGAGATTTGAATAGCAGGGCTTGGGCCAATTCTTTTTCTTTCAGAGTGCAAGAAAGACGCAAAAGCACAAGGAAACATGACAGTGTTTCGGTGGATTCTCTTTGTCCTGTGAAGTTGAGTAGCTGTTGGTGTTTCTGTGCTGCTGCTAATCCCTTCCATGAAAAAATCATTCCGGGAAGGAGCAACAACATCTGACACGCACCAAGTGTTGCCACCAGTTGCTCCAGGTGCTGCTACCAACAGCCCCTGTAGGACGGAGCACAGCCCCCAGAGCACACCAAAAGCCAGGGAATCTCAGGAAAACGGGAAACTGGACAAGACAAACACAGATCTGAACCAATGTGGTTAATCAAACGTTCTCCGTTTATTCGAGATAAGATGGTAGTTTATATAAGCTTCTACATAGTTTACAGAAACAAAGGCACTCTGATTGCTAGGCTAACAATGTTTACCTTTTCCTTAAAGTGGCTTGAGCCTTACACTATAAACGTATACTAATTCACACCCAGACAGCCCAGTGGTCCCCGTCACACCTTAATACTATTTCTATCTGCGCCACAAGCTCTGAATTTCTAACTGTGTCAGAGGCTTGAAGGCCTCACAAGGCCCAAATCTGGGGCCTAGGCTGGAGTAGCTCAAATCTCATAACTCATGTCCTCTTTCTCTGAAAAATGCTGCAACACACACCAGCTTTGGCTGCCCTCTGGCAGAGAAGCCCTTTTGGGGCACAGGTTTCTGGGGCAGCAGACGGGCACCGGTGCTGCCAGGGCTCGGGGGAGCTCTGCTTCGGCGGGGACTGTGCCTCAGCGGCTGATGTCAGCGCTCCCCGGGCCCCAGGCTCAGAGCAGCATTCCTGCCCTGGCCCACACGTTCCTGGTCTGTGTCACACGGCCGTGCTTAGGATGGCCACCATGTGGGATGTGTCCCGAGGAGGCCGTGCCAGCTTCTGTGCAGGGCCCCGTGCCCTTCCCGCCGCGGCTGCGTCGGCAGCCCTGGGGGCTCCTGCTGCTCTGAGCCCGCAGAGCAGGGCAGCGTTTGCTGATGGTCTGAGCCGTTCCTAAAGATCCTGTTGGGCTGTCTGACACACCTGGGGCAAGGCATTCCTTCCAACCTGGGCCACTCTGGGGGGCTGGGGGTGGCCCCAGGGCAGGTGGCAGAGTGTGCAAGGGCCCTTTGTGACACGGTGCAGCATGGTCACCGTGGAATGGAACGGGACAGGGTATCCAAGGGCCCTTTGTGACACGGTGCAGCATGGCCACCGTGGAATGGAACGGGACAGGGTATCCAAGGGCCCTTTGTGACACGGTGCAGCATGGTCACCGTGGAATGGAACGGGACAGGGTATCCAAGGGCCCTTTGTGACATGCTGTGGCATAGGTGTTGGCAGTGACAGGGCCACTCCACAGTGCTCTTTGCACGCAACGATACAGGACGGAGAGAGCAGTGCTGTAAGGAGCCTTGGCACAGCCACTCGTTCCTTGCTGACCCGGAGCTTTCCCGAGGTATTACTCCTGCAGGTGACCTCGTGGCCAGATAAGAGCACTTGGTGACCCCTGGCCTTCCCAAGGCATCTCTTCTGCAGCTGCCCTCGAGGGCAGACCGTGGCATTTGCTTTGCACCGTCCTTGACAGGAGTCTCCTGTCCTTGTGGCTGGAGCCCCCAAGACCAGAGTGCAGGACTCGCTGTCCTGTAGCCTTGCCCAGACTTCACTCTTGCAGGTGCCCTCAAGGCACGACTGCAGCACTTGCTG